TAACAACGAGAAGGAAAAAAATAAGGACGATTCGTGAGCGATACTATTATTTTATTGTTATTATCATAGATTTTATTTATTATTATTATTATATAAAAAAAAATTTGTAAGAAAGGAAATATAAATATACAAAGTGGAACAGTTCATTTCAAATTTCGAAAAACTTCTCAAAATATCAGAACCTTCAACAAGCCAGATTGGAGCAAATAAAAGACTCTACATGAATCAGCCACAAGAAAATACAAGCCATCAGGCAATAACAAACAACACCATGTTAAATGTAGGAGATTTAATTAAGCAAATTGTAAATTTAGAATTAAATCCATTAAAGGATGAGATCGTTAACTTAAGATCGCAGCTTTCTCACAAAATTAAATCGGTTGAGGATTATCAGATAGAGATTCTAGATCCAAATATAAAATGCGACACATCTTATGAGATCATCAAATCTGTTAGGGAATACAAAGGTGAAGAGGATAAATATGTAAGCTGGAGAGAATCGGCAGAAATAACCATGGGGCAATATGCCAGAGGGAGTGAAAGATTTTATTATGCCTTATCTATATTACGAAACAAAATAACAGGAATGGCAAACGACGCCTTAACCCATAACGGTACTGTATTAAATTTCGATGCCTAAATGGCCAGACCAGACTTCGTCTATAGCGACAAACGACCAATTCACATTATTGAACAGGAATTAAGTGTATTGAGTAAGGGAAAATTATCCATAATGGATTATTATGGTACAGTTAATAGAAAATTAACTCTGCTAATTAATAAAACTATTATGACCTACAGTAGAAACAAACCTATAACAGCGGAAATGAATGAGAAACACAGGAAGACAGCTCTTAGAGTTTTCATTACCGGCCTCAACGGCCAAATTTCAGATACTATTTTCTCAACGAATCCACCTGACCTACCAAATGCAATGGTCATAGTTCAGGAATTCAGCAACAACATGAGGGCTCATTTCGCAAATAGAAAGCAAAGTTCTCAACCTCGCCGCCTCAGTAGCCGTGTTGTTTTTTTTTGGTGCTTTTTTTCCTTTGGGGTGAATTACGAACGGTACTTGTCCATTCTCCGTGCCTTTAGCGCAGCTTCAACTACGCATCTGGCAACATCCGCCTACAATCTCCACAAACCTCGTCTACTTCTGGGTTGTTTGGTTCCTGAAGTTTTGTTTTCACATTCGATTTGTGCCGCACACGATCTTCCTTTCGACATCGGCGCCGCTAGTGCCCACTAGTTCCTAGTGATCGCAATCCATCCGCGATCTCACCGTTCTCATCACTTTAGTGTGACCAGCCACCGCTTCGAACGAGGCCCCTATTGCGCAAGTCAGTCGCAAAGCGCTGACCAGCTAATTGATTTTTGAGAATGCCCACGGGAGACGACAAAAATCCGCGTCCGATCCCAGCCATCAGTTTGGGCAGATCTCAATCCGCATCTCCGCGGACGCCTCTTTTGAAGCCTAAGGCGACGAGGGCCATTCCAAGGGCAATGAGTGACGAAAACGTCAATACAATCCCCGATCCTTCACAGAGGCAGACTCGCTCCGTTGTAAAAATGGCTCAAAGTGCGGTCGAAGTGGCGCTGAAAAAGTTCATCGTTACAACAGATCGAATTAGCCAATTTGAGGCCAACATCAATACTTCGGGAGCCCCAGAAACAGGCACCCAATAAATGTGCGAAGTCCATCTAGACCAAATTCGGGCACTCTGGGAGAAGGTGGCGAAGTGCTATGAGAGCTGCTCCGATTTTCTCGCCGTGTCCGACGACAATGCAGCCACCTCAACAGTGCTGGAATCGAAGTACAGCTACTGTTACTCCGTATATTCGAGGTGTATTGCCCAGATTCGGGAGAAAATTGCCTCCCAATAAACTCAGGCTTCCGTCAATGTCCACACACCAGCGTCTACAGGCTGTCGGTTACCTCCAGTGTATACCGAGGTCTTTGCGGGTGATTACCTGGTGGCTCACCTTTAGAGACTTGTTTACGGCCATTAACATCATTTGCTGTCCAAAACAAGTGGTGACGCACATGCCATTGTTGCTAAGGCTCCGCTTACCCATGAGGGGTTTGTCGCAGCGTGGCAAAGCCTCACAGACCTAGATATGAACGTGGACGAGCGCTCCGACTACATTAAGAGGAAGCAGTTATGCTTGAACTGTTTTGCCCGAGGGCATCAGCAGCGAGACTGCACGAGCGCCCATACCTGCTTCACATGCCACAGCCGACACCACACCCTCCTACACCGCGGCAATCCGTTCGCTACCGCTCCAAGTCCGCCTACTCCAGCAAGGGCTCGACCCGCACAAACTGCCAGAAGCAGAAACGGCTCAGAGGATCAGTCGGATGTGCAGGTATGCTTCGCTTCCGGGTCTGGAGCCGTCCTATTGTGTACGGCCCTTATCAACGTATGCCATTTGGGGTGCAGTTTCCAGCCACGAGCACTGATAGACTCAGGGTCCGAAGCGTCGTTCATAACTGAAGGACTGTTCAACCTTGTCAAGCTTCCCTTCAATACTATTCAAGCCCAAGTGTCCGGTCTTAATCAGACCATTTCCGCGCAGTCTACTAAATTGTGCCATTTCTCCATTCGGTCGCCGTCTAGACCCGGGTTGCAATTAGAGACTGCGGCTTACGTTCTTCCGCAGTTGGCAGGAAATCTGCCATGATATCCGATTCCGCGGGATCGTCTCAAGGGGCTGCCCGACATCCCCCTGGCGGACCCCAACTTCTTTGAAAGCTCCCAAGTCGATGTGTTAATAGGAGCTGACATTCTTCCGTCCATTCTCCGCGGTAATACCAGGGCTAACATCTGCGGGTTACATCTCGGTCAGGAAACCATTTTTGGATGGGTGCTGACAGGCCCATTATCTCCAGCCAACCCTCGCAGCGTATTCGTTTTTTCCACACGAGTTGCCCGTAGCCTCGGTGACTCGCTGGATCAACCAAATTTTGGGATTTTGGGTGAGGATGGGCCCACACAGATCAATTCGGAATCGGATTCAGGTTGCGAGCACAATTTTGTCCAGACGACGAGAAGAGAAAGGTGTGGCAAGTACGTTGTGACGCTCCCCTTACGCCACCCCGAGCAGAAGGGTTCCGAGCTATCGGCTTCACGGTCCTTTGCTCTTGCTCAGTTCCTTCGTAATGAGCAGCGCCTGAAGAGGGATCCGCCCCTTAAGGCCCGCTATGACTCGGTAATCCAGGATTACATCGACTTGGGCCACATGACCGAGGTCTCTCCCACGAGCAGTTCCGCTACCTACTACCTCCCACATCATGCCGTCTTCAAGCCCGAAAGCACGACCACCAAGGTGCGGGTAGTCTTCAATGCTTCGAGCCCGTCCGTAAACGGGACCAGTCTGAACGACATTCTTTACGCGGGCCCGGTCTTACAATCCGACCTGACGATTCAAATCCTAAAGTGGCGATACTTTAGGTTTGTCTTCAACGCCGACATCGAAAGGATGTATCGACAAATTTGGATAGACCCCAAGCATACTCCGCTCCAACGTATTTTGTTTCGCAATCCCGATGGGGAGATCCGCGACTACGAATTAAAAACGGTCACCTTAGGTGTCAATTGTGCCCCGTTCCTAGCGATCCGTGTCCTGCAGCAGCTCGCTGACGACGAAGAGTTGAAGTACCCGCAGGCAAGCCAAATTATCCGGCATTTTATGTACGTTGATGACGTTCTCGCGGGGCCAGACTCCAAAACCGAAGCCCAAATGGTGATTCGGGAGCTAAAGGGCGCCCTAGAGTCAGCAGGGTTTCCACTGAGGAAATGGACGTCGAATAGCAAGGCGATCCTGGCCGACATTCCGAGCGACCACCTCCTTCGTGCTGATTTCCTCGACATCGATGCAGAGAGCACGGCCAAGACACTCGGCGTGCGCTGGAAAGCGACGAGCGATGAGTTTTTTTTTGTTCCGCCAGAGCTGACTTGCGGCTCGTCCTTCACGAAGCGCCAAGTCCTCTCCCAAATTGCCAAACTGTTCGATCCAGCAGGTTGGCTCGCTCCTTTCATTGTCCGGGCAAAAATGTTCATGCAGGACATTTGGCTTCTGGATCTGGGGTGGGACAACGGCCTCCCTCAAGATTTCTGTCAACGATGGGTTGACTTCCTGAAGAATTACTCGGTGCTCGATCAGATTCGTGTTCCTCGATGGGTCGCGTTCCAACCACACCTAAGGGTCGAGCACCACGGGTTCTGCGACGCTTCAGAGAAGGCGTACGGCACAGCAATTTACGTCCGTGTCGAGGTTGGGTCTACGGTCATAGTGAACCTGCTGACTGCAAAGACTCGAGTAGCCCCAGTTAAAACGGCGTCGCTCCCTCGGCTAGAGCTGTGCGGCGCCTTGTTGCTGTCGGAAATGGCCACCGCCGTTTTGCCAAAGATGCCAGGGACCGCATATGCCCCATACTGTTGGACGGACTCGACTATTGTCCTCGCGTGGCTGCAGAAGCCAGCGTGTCAGTGGACAACGTTCGTGGCCAACCGGGTAGCCAAGGTCGCCCAGTTCACCGACGTGCAGAAATGGGCACATGTCCGCTCCGAGCAGAACCCTGCGGACCTTGCGGATAACCAGTTGTGGTGGTACGGGCCGGGCCGCTGCGAGGGCCTCGCAGCGAGTGGCCCACTCAAGGCAACGAGGCCCCCGTGACTAAACTCGAGAAGCGAGCAGTCAAGGTCCATGTCGCGAAGGCGCCCCCCGAAGATCTCCTTGAACGTTTCTCCACACTTGACAAGGCACTACGAGTCCTTGCCTATGTTTGTCGCTTCATCCAGCACGCGCGGAAGATACGCTCTCCGTTCGAAGAGCACCTGACAGCTAATGAGGTTACGTCGGCTGAACGTCTTCTAGTTTCCGTCACTCAGCGCAGACACTTCGTCTCTGAAATGGGCTGCTTAAGCAAAAAGCGTTCAGTATCAGCGTCCAGACCGATTCAAAATCTGAACCCCTTCATGGATTAGCAAGGCCTTATGAGAGCCTGCGGGCGGGTCACTTCCTCTGAACTTCTCCAATTTGACGAACGGCATCCGATAATCCTTCCATACGACTGCCATCTGTCTCAACTCCTTGTTGAATTTACGCATCGCATCACGCTGCACGGCGGCAATCAGCTGATGATCCGCCTGATTCGGGCCAAATTGTGGATTCCAAGGGTGAGGAATTTGGTCAAGTCCGTCGTCTATGCTTATAAAGTATGTGTCATCCACAAGAAGAAATTGCAGACGCAACTCATGGGAGAGCTACCGAAGGAACGGACGTCCTTCTCGCGCCCATTCACGTACACAGGTGGGGATTATGCCGGTCCTTTCGAGATAAAGAACTATACGGGGCGAGCCTGCCTCATCACAAAGGGGTATGTGTTGGTGTTTGTGTGCTTCTCCACTCCCGGAGAGGATGCCCCCATCAAGTGCAGTCGGACAGCGGGAAGACCTTTGTGGGGGCAGCTGCCCTACTATCTCGCGATTTTTTCTAGAGCCTTAAAGGGGCTGTGACAGGTGCCTACAGTCACCAGCAGCTTCTCTGGCATTTCATTCCTCCGGGAGCCCCCACATGGGAGGCCTGTGGGAGGCAGGCGTCAAGAGCTTCAAGACCTTGTTCTACAAGTCTTTTACACCTTTGAGGAGCTGGCTACTCTCCTGGCGAGGATCGAGGCGTGCCTAAATTCGCGGCCGCTCGCGCCAATGTCCGAAGACCCTGCTGATCTGATGGCTCTTTCACCCGGGCACTTTCTGGTGGGAGGTCCTCTTCTCGTCACGGTCGAACCCGAGCTAAAGGGGGATACTACGTCAATTATTAATCGCTGGCAGCACCTGAAAGCTCTTCAACAGCAATTTCGGCTGCGATGGAAGGAAGAGTACCTCAAGGAGCTCCATAAGGGATATGGACGTTCCGTCCAATGAGTGGCGATTAGGCAGGCGTGTCTGCGTGATCGACATCCGCACCGGGCGAGGGCTCGTCAAGCGGCCCGTCGCTAAGATCGCCCTTCTTCCGATGGACTCGTCCGCCTGCCTACAATAATTATGCGTTTCTTTAGTTCCAATGTTCCTGTCCATTGTGCTGTCTCGTAGCTCTGCCCGTAGTTCCAAATCGAACTTCACACCAATTCTGATAACGCTGTTTTGGTTCTTCATCATAGTTCCGCCAGTCATTCTCAGCACGATGTCGCCACGTCCACGCAGCGCCCAGTCACTGGAGAGTAGATGTACTCGAGGTACACAGTCCTACCGATGCCGAGTCTGCAGAGGGATCCATCCTTTGAAGCAATGTCGGCGCTTTCTACGTCTCAGCGCCGAGAAGCGGCTCCAGGCGGTTCTCGTGAACCGGTATTGCTCCAACTGCCTGGCTCACGAGCACTCCGACAGATCGTGCCGGCTTGGGGACTGCTGTAGAACGTGTGGTCAGGATCACCACTCGCTGTTGCACCTCGTAGCGAAGCCGCGGGCTCGGCGCCAGCCGCGTCAAGAGGAGCACCGTTCACGGAGCGTGGGAGACAGTACACGGAGTGTCTCAGCTGGCGCTCAGCCTTCGTCCGTCAACTCCCGGTGCGGTTCGGTTGCTTCTCGGCCGGACTCACAAGCCGGTCCACGGCCATCGACTTCCCGGCGCTCGTCGGCAGCTCCTCAGCATTCTTCCGCCACTGGCCGGCAAGCTTCAGGTGCTCCACGGCCTTCGTCCGCCACTCATCGGGTGCCGTTCACCGCTTGTTCGCCCTCGTCATCCGCGCCTAGGCAACTTTCCGCCTCTCGCCAAGGGACCCCGCAGGACGCATCCGCTGCGCCCACCCTATCGTCGCTGCTGCAGCGGAACAGCGTCAACGTTCTGCCAAACGCGCTAGTGCGCATTGACACCGGGACCCGGATCTTCAACACGGGGGCCCTTTTCGACCCGTGTACGCCCTCGAGCTGCATCGACGCATCGCTAGCAGCGTGCTTCCGTCTGCCCACTACCAGCGTGGGGGACGAACAAGTTTGTTCAGCCACCGTGGGTTCCAAAACTGATGATAGCGTTCGGCTGGAGGTCGTTTTCAAAATCGAGCCTCACGTGCGCGTTCGTACGCCGTCTCGAGAGCTGATCGAGGCGGTGCGTGCCCACTTCCGAGGCGTGACATTGGCTTTTTTGGATGGGTCATGTCCGGAGCCTGTCACCAACCGTAGCGACGAGGGAGCTGTTGCAACCCGAGTGATTGCAAGGGGGGCGGGATGTTTAGGTGAGGGGCCGTTGTGCCGCCGCTCATCCACGCTGAAGAGGGCATCCACGCTAAAGAGCGCATCCGCCCTCGCCCCTCTCTGCACAATCTTGCACTCTCGCTCTCTCGGGTCCAACTGCAGCGGTCGGCCGTCGGCGATCGTCTTTTTTCTTATGCTAAGCTAAGTTAAGTACACGACTCCCCCGACTTCCTCCAACCACAACCAGCAGCGTCAAAATGACATCCACCGAGCTGAAAATTGGACTGACCAGCAGGTCCCGTACCTCCAGCCGAGTACTAAAGCCCCCAGGAGGCGGACACACCAATATCTTCTCGGAGCCCGACGTGGCCGTGCCCGCCCCTCGTGCCAATTACAACCAAAAGAACTCCTCGAACCTTAACGCATGTATGGGCTCCACCGATCCCAATAAAGTGGTGGAGAAGATTCGAGAAGAGGTCACCACCCAGAAGGAGGAGGCCAAGTCTGCCCCGCCCAGCCAGCCCAAGAAGTCAGCGAACAAGCCAGCGGCCACGAACGGAGAGGCTCGTGGCCGAGTGCCACCTGGCGGATTTTCGTCAGGCGGTTTCTGGTAGAGAGAGTGGGCCCGGGAGCAGAAGCAGCCTCCAAGCATTTAATGTCTTACCATCACATCCTCAGACCAACATAACAAACATAAACCTATAAATATAACTCGCTTATAACATACTTATACACACATATTTAGAGGCGCATTACCTATAATAATCTGCTGATCAGCCGAAGAAGAAAAACAATCTGATTATATTTTGCAAAGCATCACTCCATTATTGTGCTTCCTTTTGTCGTTTCATTTTTATCTTTCTTACTTTTGTCTTATCGTCTAAGTAAAAGGTTTAACATTTCTAACGCAATTGTTGAAATTAAGTAACTCGTGATTCCGCCCCAAAAACATGGATAGTACGGATTGACTTTGCTAAACACTACCACCTACAACTGAAGCCTAATTTAGCATTTGTACTTAAAGTGTCCAATCGAAACTTCTTATAGTCAGTATGATTGTCCAAAACAAAATCTCTTTATAACCATCGATGTATTATTCCAAAATAAAACATATAATCTTATCTGCGATCAAGAGGCATCTTTTTGCGGCAACACCGCCCCACTACAACAAAGAGTATCCACAGTGAATGGATATTCAATAATTAAATTTTATCATAAAATAACTATTTTTGATTCACCATATACTTTTTATGAAATAGATGGGCTTGACTCAGATTTACTGGTCGGCTATAACCTATTAAAAAAAACAGGAGCGGTTATTAATACAGCTAAGGGAGTAATTAAATATAATGTAATAGAAAAATTAAATTATGATATCGGAAACATATTAAACAAACATTCTTTAACAGAAGAAAACACCATTCTTCCATTAAAAGAATATATAATAAACAAGAGGAAACGCTATAGTCGAGTGCCGCGACTGTAAGATACCCGTTACTGTTTTACACAATTTTAAAATATTAATTTTGCTAGTGGAAATTCACAAGGCGTCACCTATTGTCAGAGGAAGTATGTTGAGTATGCTTATAGTGACGTCACTGCCCATGTGAGGCCTTATAACCTTAATTTCATCATAAATAGCGAAATAATGTTCCGATTTGAAAAATCTATTGTAAATCGATAGATATTAACAGAAATAAGTTACACAAGGTCAAACGAAGGCATTCATAATAATATTATGGACTCCACAGTTTTCCGCGGTTTGTGGGCGTTAGAGTGGGCGTGGCCGGATGCAACTTCGTGGAAAGTTGCAGAGGCATCTCCTAAATACGGGTTCCTAAGCAAAATTATGTAGCTTTTATAGTTTTTGAGATTTTTGCATTTTTGGTTTTTCGGGTTTTGTGGGCGTTAGAGTGGGCGTGGCGTGATCGGAGGAAAACAATTCGCATTGGGAGCATCATAGAAACATACATGCTTGATCCGAACTTTCTATCTCTTATAGTTACCGAGATATCAGCTTTTCTAGAAAATCCGAAAACCGTCTTTTGAGCCTTGTGGGCGTATGGGTGAGTTTGGCCGGATAGTAGTACTACTATAAGATGCGCTGTCATTTAAAGATTATACTTTCTGAATTTCAACTTTCTATCTGCAATAATTCCTGAGATTTTAGCAATTTTAGTTTTTTGCGATTTGTGGGCGTTAGAGTGGGCGTGGCAGGATGCTGTAATAAACTTGCGCTGTCCCGGGACCTCAAGAATCTTCATGCTTAATCTCAACTTTGTATCTGCTATAGTTCCTGAGATCTCAGCGTTCATACGGACGGACGGACGGACGGACGGACAGACGGACATGGCTTAATCGACTTCGCTATTGATCCTGATCAAGAATATATGTACTTTATAGGGTCGCAAAAGCTTCCTTCTATCTGTTACATACTTTTCAACGAATCTAGTATACCCTTTTACTCTACGAGTAACGGGTATAAAAAATACTTTGATGAAAAAAAATTCAGATCCGAATCTGAAATGGGTAATCAAAGCGAATCTAGTTTGGAATATAAAAATCCTGAACACGCCGTCGTTGAAAAATCCGACAAAAATAAAAGTTTGGAATTCAAAAATTCCGAACGCGACGTCCTTGAAATATCCGACAAAAATAAAATTTGGGGAATTAAAAATCCTGAACGCGCCGTCGTTGAGAAATCCGACAACAATAAAAGTTTGGAATTTAAAAATTCTGAACACGCCGTCGTTGAACTACCCGACAATCAAAGAATAAACAACATAAAAATATCGTCTGCAGATCAGAGAAAAGATCTGGAGAACGAAATATTAAATATTATCAATGAAGAGAATTCAAAAACAAGAGGAAACGCTATAGTCGAGTGCCGCGACTATAAGATACCCGTTACTGTATTACACAATTTTAAAATATTAATTTTGCTAGTGGAAATTTACAAGGCGCCACCTATTGTCGGAGGAAGTATGTTGAGTATGTTTATAGAGGGCTTGATGAAAATTATAAGCAAATAACTAGACTCTATTATTGGCCCAATTTATACAAAAAGCTTAAAGAGTTTATAAAGAATTGCACTATCTGCAATCAAAACAAATATAACAAACACCCTGTACTGATTCCTATCGGTCAAGCACCAATTCCAGAAAATGAAGGTGAAAATTTACATCTTGACATATTTTACGCCCAAAATCTTATATTCATTACTTGTATAGATTCGTATAATAAACTAAATATAGAAAATAAAGTTTCAGAAATTTCACAACAATTTCCATTAGCCAAATCTTTGATGATAGATAACGATCCAAGATTTTCTTCATCCCAATTTAAATCTTTTGCAAAGAAATGGGATATCTTTATTCTTTGCAGATCCTCGACATAGTACGTCTAACGGACAAATAGAAAGGACACACTCTACCTTAACAGAAATTGCTCGCTGCATTAAAGATGAACTTAATTTAATTGATCATATAATTAGAGCAGCACAAAAATACAATTTAACAATTCATTCAATAACCAATCATCGACCTTTTGATATATTATTTAATAAAATCAAACACGATGATATTCCTAAACTATTGCAGCAAGCCCAAGAGAAAATGTTGCATTTTCACAATAAAGATAAACAAAATAAGAATTATCACGTAGGAGAGGTAATTTACGAAAAGAAACATGGCGAAATAAACAAGCTTAATTCTAGATATATAAAACAAGTAGTTAAGGAAAATCTCCCAAATAAAGTTATTATAAATAACAGAAACCGTACGATTCATATATTAAATAACTTGTTTCAAATTACAGATAATGATTTCAATAATGTACTTATTATTGCTGGTAGCTACAACCAAATCCGAAATTATGGATTACACGAACCATGATTTCCTTCTTTACAAGGATACCAAATATGTTCTTATTTATGAATCATACGCAGATTTATTTCATATAACTAATATAAGTCTTTATAGAGAAATAATTAATCTTGAAACAGAATTTCTAAATGGTCACGACAACAAGAATTTTCTTTGGAAAATATCCCACGATTTAAAAATTATCAGAATACTTATCTCTCAAATTATACCCAGTAGATCAAAAAGAGGCATTAATAAAATAGGCACCATTTGGAAATGGATAGCGGGAACACCAGATCATGATGATTTCATAACAGTCCAAAATAAAATCGATGATTTAATACAAAATAATAACGATCAATTCGTTATTAATTCCAAAATATTTAAAGAGATAAAATCTTTATCTGTACAATTCAAAACAGCCTTTAAAGATCAAGAAATTCTACTTAGAAAATATCGTCTGCGCTTGCTTACTTACGATCTTATGAATTTAATGGACACAATTACACTTGCCAAAATTGATGTATTTCTATCTGAATTTAAAATCGCTTTACATCAAGATCTTATTATAATTTACATAAAATACCCTATTATTACCGATCGTTGTGACGTTTACAATTCAAGATCCATTTCACATAATGATGGAAAATTATTAATCGATAATCACGTCGCAAAATGTAGAAATAAGTACTATATTATGTCTAATTTTAAGACAGAAATATTTAATAAATTTTGCACAATTAACCCAGAAGGCTCTTGTTTCACTAAATATCTTAATGGAGAAAAATCCTTTTGTAACAAAATCCGAGAAAAAAATAAAAATGTAGATGTAATCCAAGATGGAACCATTTTTGTAAATGGAGAAAATACAGTTAATGACACTCATTTAAATGGGTCATATTTAAAAACCTTTAATGGCACCACTAAAATTAATAATATTTCCTACACCAATATAGACAATAAGATGTTGGAATACATCACAGCTCGAAAATATACAGATTTTTTGTATCCGAATATATTATATCTAATAATTCGGAACTCACATTCGATAATATTAACATACTAAATCCTGTTATTCAAATTAAACAAACTGAAATACCAGTTACGTTAATATTAATCATATTCACAATTGTATATTTAACTATTATGATTATAATCAAATTCAGAAAATTTTTAATATTCAAACCATGGCAAATTCATACAGAAATTGAATAAGAAAATAAAATTTCCGATAATGAAATAAATAATATACCCGACAATGAAAATACTCTAGAAGAAAATATCATTGTCGAATTAACCCATCAATTACATTCAATATACCCACCAATTCCAGTTTAGAATAGGGGGAGTTATATGACTCATTATTTAGGGGCTCTTACCCAATTTATAAACAACTTTGAGCCGAGAGCCAATTTCCAAATAACTCTGACAAACCCGAGATAAATCCGTGGTCAGCTATTTCTGTCAACAAGGCCTCCGAATCATTCCCACCCAATCAATTTCACGCAGCCCAAATCAAACGGATGCTGTAAACATCCAGTCCGCTAACGTAAACAAAAGATCCCCAAAGCGAGTCCCGAGTCCGCTAACGTAATCAAAAAGATCCCCAAAAGCGGTCCCTAAACTCCGCTAATGTAAACACCTATTTCCGGTAAAGATTGGACTTCAAATTTAATTGTCAAATTGCGTCATCCTATTTTCCGACTCTCTTGAGATTCCATTCTCTTTATCAATTTTTGGGGATAAATTCTCTTAAGCAGAGGTTTGATTATTAATCATTGAACTAGAGATCCTCAGTCCGTTTTTGAGATCCGAATCAAGAAGTAGTGCTAATCAAGTAAAAGTAAACGAGCAGTGAATTAACTAAGTTCGACCTATTGAAAAATTATAATAGTGATTAAGTGATTAGAAAAATAAAAATAAAATTTTTTAATTAAATCAAGAGAGAGAAACTTAATTTTCATACAAACATACATATTTTTTGGTGCAATTAATACGCGAAAAATTGACCAAGTAAAATTGAACTGTGAAATTGTGTGGGGACAAAAAGAAGGCATAATTAATATTGGCGACCCGGTGTGAAATAGTTCCGAAAATTTCTAAATTCACCGAACAGTCCGCCGCTGGCGTAATGTTTTTTCCCAATCAGTGTCATTTTTTTTACACCACATAACTTTTCTGTTCACCCAGTTATACAGTCCACTTATCAACGCTCCACT